AAACTATAATGGACAAAATTATAAAATCCCATTGGCAAACCTTCAAGACCCAAATGAATACAGAAGCAGACCATGTTCACTAATCAAAGACTCAATGTGGTAAAGGTGTCAATTTTCCCCAGGCTGATTTATAGCTACAATGAATTCCCAATCAAAATACCAGCTGAGTTGTTATTAATGGAAATGACAAGCTGATTTTAAAACTTATAAGGGAGAAAAAACTTACATGGAAATACAAAGAGCCAGAATAGCCAAGATACTCTCAAAGAAGAAAAATAAGATGAGGACTTACTTTACCAGATATCAAGAAATGATTAAGTGACTAATTCAGATAGTTTTTGGTGTTTGCATAAGAACAGACAGACAAATGGAACAGAATAAAGAGTCCAGCAACAGACCTACATAAATATGGATACATCACAGATGGCACTGCAGATGGCTGGGTGAAGGGCAGATTATAAATAAGCGATGTAGGGATAGGTGGGAAAACCTATGGGGAAAAACGGAAAGTGAATCCTTACCTCCCGCCATATGCACAAAACAATTATAGAGTTGAAGAAGACATGTGCGACACACATTACTGACAAAATCAAGGCTACATAAAGAATTCTTTAGGGGGCCGGCCCCATGGCTGAGTGGTTGGGTTCGTGCGCTCCGCTACAGCAGCCCAGGGTTTCGCCAATTACGCTCCTGGGTGCAGACATGGCATGGCTCATCAAGCCATGCTGAGGCAGTGTCCCACATAGCACAACCAGAAGGACCTACAACTAAATATACAGCTATGTACTGGGGGGCTTTGAGGAGAAGAAAAAAAAAGATTGGCAACAGATGTTGGGTCCGGTGCCAATCTTAAAAAAAAAATTATTGGGGCCGGCCTGGTGGCGCAGCGGTTAAGTTCACACATTCTGCTTCTCGGTGGCCCAGATTCGCCAGTTCAGATCCCGGGTGCAGACATGGCACCACTTGGCACGCCATGCTGTGGTAGGCGTCCCACATATAAAGTGGAGGAAGATGGGCATGGATGTTAGCTCGGGGCCAGTCTTCCTCGGCAAAAAGAGGAGGACTGGCAGCAGTTAGCTCAGGGCTAATCTTCCTCAAAAAAAAAAATTAGATTAATAAGAAAGAGACAAACAGCACATACAAAAATGGGCAAAAGACGTGAATAAGCACAGGAGACAAAATCAAAATAGTTGATAAACACATGAAAATGTGCTCAACCTCATTAGTAATTAGCTAAATGCATACTAAAGCCATAATTATACACCTACCAGTTTGGCAAAAATGAAAAAAGTCTGACAATACCAAGTGTTGACAAGGATAAGGAACCAAGAAAATTCTCTTTTACTGTTTGGGGAATGTAAAGTGGAACAATAACATTCTTGGGAAACAGTGACAGATCCTGATGCCCTAGGACCCAGGAGTTCTGGGTACATACCTTAGAGAAATTCGTGCACACATCCATCAGAAACACAGACAAGACATGCTAGCAGCATTGTCTGTGATTGCCCCAAACTGGAAACACACTACAAGTCCATCTACAATAAAATGAATCTATGAACTACGATACAGTCATACAATGGAACAGTTTTCAGCAAGCAACTTGAACAAACTATAGCTACGCACAGCAACATGAACAAATCTCTATGATGAGCAAAGAAGCCAGATGCCAAAGCTGGCATCTGTATGATTCCATTTACACAAAATACGAAAACAGGAAACCACTGTGACAGATGCATAATTGGCTGACGAAGGCTTTACAGCAAAACAAGAACATGAGCCTCACCAAAGCTGGGGGAGGGGTCACCCGTGAGAGCGCGAGGGGGTGGCACTGCGGCGGGGAGGGCACATGGGTGCTGGAGAGGCTCCTTCTTAACGGGGTTACACGGATGTTCACTTCCTAACAATTTGTTAGGCTGCACATTTGTATTTTGCTCACTGCTCTGAATGTGTGTTTTATTCCACAGGAAATGAAAGGAAAAAGGAGCGTGCCTCAGCTCTAAGTAGCTCGGGGCATGGCCACGGATGAAGCCAGAGGGCGATGCAGGGGCAGCTGTCAGGCAGCCTCTAAGGTTCCTGAGGAGCAAAGGAAGGTGTGAAGGAGGCAGATGGGATCAAGTTGGCTCTGCACCCCAAGACTCTCCCTCTGGTGAGACAGTGCTGGAAGGTAGCTTGCTGGGGGATGACCACTATCAACCATCTTCGGTGGGTCACTGCCTCCCCAGGACAGGAGCCCTTCCCAAGACCGCTCATCAGGCAGTCTTTTCCAGGGAGGAGGGATAGGACGTGCAGGCACAAAGACAAGGGGCCACCCATGGGAGCGAGTTGCCTGGTGAGGGGCTCCAAGCTACTGGGTCACAGCCAGAGACAGAGGCTGTGCCCCTCCCCACAACTGCCTCTAGAGACGCATGGATTTGGTTCAAGTACCAACTCTACCCCATACTCCTTGTATGGCCTTGGTCTCTAGGCCATCCCCTCCAGAGGCCAGCCCCAGTGGGCACTGGGCAAGAAGCCCCTTGGGCCCAGGCCTGCTGCCTTGTCTTCCCTGGCACTTCCTTCTGCCCCAGCAGAGACACCCTCCCAACCTGGGGTGCAGGAAGCTCCTCCTTGGACCAGCAGGGGGCGTCCATGCAATGTGACCCACATTGGGTGGGGACTGGGAGCAACTCCAGACTTGTTTTTTGAGGTCTCTTCTTGTTCTAAAAACATCTCTTTTTACAGTAAGAATCTCTATCAAGAGAAAGCGTAGAGACTCACTGAACTCTTTCTGATCAACTGTCAGAAAAGTAAAACCATGTTCAGTCCTTGGCTTGGAGAAGCTTCCCAAAGTGTCTGGGGCCCTTTTCCAGGGCCCAGGAATTGAACCCATCTCTGAACTCACGACGCTGGGCAAGTCAGTGAATCCTCTTTGAGCCTTGGTTCCCTCTCTGTAAGATGAGTAGGATAGCCCCCGGGCACGTCCTAGGCCTCCTGTTGGTTTATCTCCACAGACTGGGGCAGGGACGGCAAAGCAGAGCAAGGCAGGTCAGTTTTATTCCCCCCAGAGCTGTGGCCCCCTCAGGTGGGGGAAGATATGCCTAGCCCTAGGATGTGGACTAACTAGACACCCCACAATGACTATCGGAGGCCGTGAAGGGTGGTGAGGGCTAGGCAAGGGCCAGGGTCTACACTCAGAGCAGGGAGGGACAGATCCCATGGCAGTAAGTGGCAGAGCTGGGACTTGAATCCAGGCCTCTCTGAGCCTAGGTTTTCTCACCTATAAAACACAACTAATAGTAGCTGCTTCTCCAGTCAAACTATGTCAAGTACCCAGCTCAGCGCCTTGAACACAAGACGTGTTCAGTAAGTGGTAACTACCCTTCAGCACTATATGATGAATGGAAGACTCATGGCAGGTCTCAGGAGGGAGTGGGACCCCTTCCAGCCCCTCCTTCATGTGGGAAGGACCATGGCCTGGGACCCTATCCACCATCTGCAACACACACATACTTGCAGCTGAGGCCCTGGGCCAGGGATGCAGTTCAGAAAGAGGTGGGCAGCTGTCCAGACAGGCCCTGGGCCTGGGAGGAGAGGCAAGCCCAGGCCAGGCCCTGGGGTGGGCATTGGACAGCCGCAGGTCTCATGTGTCCAGGAGGCCAGAAGGACCTATCACCTGGCTCTGAGCCCCAGAACTCCCAAACATTCTAGCTCAGAGATCTTCAAATGTGTTTCAGCCACTGAGCTGGCTCCAAAGTGGCCACATGTTAGCTAAAAGCCATTGTGTCCTGAGTCCTACAGCACATCACCAGCACAGGGGCACTGGCTAGAAACTGCTTCTCCAATCCAAGCCATTTAAAATTTCACAGGAAGGGAAGCTACAGCCACAGTGGGGAATGGCGTGCCTCAGTGGGTTCCCCAAGCGAGTTCAGGGCAGAGAGGGCAAAGAATTATGACCACACGGAGGAGGAATTGCTGGTTTCCCAGAGATGGTAGGAAACACTGGAAGCTCCCCGTGCCCCAAACTTGACCATGTTGCATTGACCCCTCCCCAGGCAGGCTGAAGAGGAAGCATCTGCAGGGACCATACTGGACACTCGGTTCCTGGAAGCAGATGGCCACTGTCACCCCCAATCCTCCCCACAGCATCTCAGGGCAGGGAGCCATGGCCTCCCCCATCTGTTGACCACCCCACCCCAGAACATGCCCCAGGGCTAGAGAGAGGGGAAGTCCAAACACAGGGCCTCCTCAAAGGACTGTTAATCACTGGCCAGTGGGCACAAGTGCTGTGGTGGCTTGGGTTTTACACAGCACATTCCTTTCCCAGCATAAAGTGCAGTGAGGAATCAGATGGCTCCAGGATCCCTCCTAGCCCCGGCCCCCAGCTGAGTCTGTTTTCACAAAAAAATCCAGCCCAGATGACTGTGCCAGGGAGAGTGGCCTACTGGAATTCATGACAGGAAGTGAGGGATGATCAGGGCTGGGCCTCAGCTGGGGATCGCCAAGAGACTCAGGCATCTGGGTACCATGGTCCCCACCTACCCTTGGCCTACTCAGGGCCCACTCTTCCTGCCCCACTGTAGCTGTCACTTCCTCCAGGAAACCTTCCTGGAGCCACCAGCTGGGTTGCAAGCTCCTAGCCCCTGCACACCCCACTGCTCTGGACAGCATGCACTGTGAGCACCTCCTGCCCAGCTGTCTCCCAGTAACCATTTGTTAATCCAGCAAATGATCCAACTGGAGATGTGGGGGACCTGTTAGCTCTGCAGCCCCGTTGCCTGGTCATGACCCACAGCAGCAGAAGCTGGTGCTTTGGCGTGCGGGCTGTGAGCACACACTGCCCAAGTTTGGGGCCTGTTCTGTTATCAGCTGTGCAGCTGGGACAAGTCACTTAGTAACCTGTGCCCTGGAAGATAGAGAGACTACCTCAAGGGTTCCTATGAGCTGACCTGCTGCAGTCACCACCTGTACGTTGGTGTGGGTACACCTATCACTCCCTCCTCCCAATAAAGCACCAGCCACCGAAACAAAGGTCTTCTGTGCTTTATTGTGTGGCAACAGCCCCTCCTGGAGCCTGTGTCTTAGCGTTCCTGGGGGATCCTGGGGCCAGCCCCTGCCCCCAGCCCAAATGCCCCAACCCTGCCCAGCTCCTAGCCCAGCGCAGGATGGGTATGCTGAGGGGACCAGAATTCCTATCTGTGAAGCCCAGGCAGGGCTCTGTCCTGGGACCCTGGGCTCCTGAGAAGTGGGCAGGGCAGGCAGGGTGGGATAGGAGAGTCCCCAGTCCTCTGGAGCCCAGGGCCTGGCCTAGCCCAGGGGACCCAGCCTGCTGGGTGGGGCCTGGCCTGGCAGATTCCATAGGGTGTCAGTGGGGGAGGCCCCAGGTCACAGCACGGTGCTTGTTCCTGCTCACGCTCCCATGCAGGCCAGTCTTCATCCGCATGGCCTGGGGTCATGGCCCCCAGGGTCACCTCTGCCCAGCAGTGCACGGCACAGGTGTCACCTGGGCCCAGCGTAGCCGTAGGGGTGCTGCAGCAGCAGGCTCTCGTGGCTGGGCAGCACGTGGGTGTGGTAGTGTTCCACCAGGCTGCCCACACTCACAAACAGGACCTCGCTCTCCAGGTAGAATTTAGAGTCCTGGTTTGGGGGAAGGTGGCAAGGTCAGGGGGGTTGGGCTAGCCTGCCCATCCCTGCAACATGGGGCAGTTGGCAGTAATGACAACAGTCAGGTCTGCTCCCACTGCTCTGTGTCACCTCCTAGCTGCCTGTCCCAAATTCCCACCTCATTACCCCAACTCGGTCCAGGGGATACAGCCAAGGTCTGTAAATAAGCCCCAAGGCAGGCTATTTACATAGAGGGGATCACTCCATCCCCTCTAGGGTGAGGTGAGGACACAGCTAGGCAAGGGGAGGGGGGAGGTTGAGGCAGTGGAGAAGTGGCATCTGGAAATGCCTGCCTCAGTCCACCCATTGCCTATACTCTATCAGGGAGACTCTGCCCTGCCCCCGCTAAGCTCCAGGCCAAGGTCCCCCACCTGCCCAGGGCCCGCGGGCAGGGCCAGCCTGCTTACCTTCTCAAAGATGCGGTAGTTCCTCACCTTGTCAGAGGTTTCGTCCCACACGACCAGAACCTGCCGGGAGAGAAGCGGGCAGCGGATGGCTCAGCTGAGAGCAGCACTGACTTCCAGAAAGACAAACCTTGGAGACCGAGGGGCAGGCAGCAGGACTGAGGCTGGGTCTTGTGGCCCTTGGGGGTTGCTCTGCCCGTGAACAGCAGGGTCAAGACAGGCAGCCCCTTGCCCCAGGACTCTGCCCCCAGTTAGCCTCTGATGAGACCTGAATAACAGTGGCAGATCCTGGTCCACCCTAGGACCATCTCTGAGACACATGGGGAAACTGAGGCTTAATGAGGTCACACAATTCACCCTTGAAGGGGCAGAGGTGGAGCTGACAGACCTCCTGCCATTCCCACTGCCCCAAGCAGCCACCCCTTGAAAGTTCAGGAACCCCCATATCCCCATCAGAGTCCTGGGGCCCCAGCACTTCCTTCCCATCTCCTGCTCGTGCTGGGAGGTGGCCATGATTGCCCCCAGTTTGCAGATGGTGCTTAGTTTCTGAGAATAGATCGGCAGGGGGCCTGCCAGGCAAAGACTCCAAGGATGGAACCTGGCAGAGATGACAAGTAAGAGGCTGCATGGGGAAGTGATCTATAAGCTGTAAAGTCCTGTGCTTGCTGTCAGGCTGGGTGTGTGGACAGCGAGAAGACCCCCCCACAAGGCAATAGTCCTGGGGGGCCTTTGCTAGGCAAGGTGACCACCAGGGCATCCTCCTTGGGCACCAACCTTCCCCGACTTAGTGGAGGAGTTCCGGATGCAATAGAGTCCATCCTGGGGCTCTCCCCGGGGGTTCGTGGCTTTGAATAACCTAAAATAAAACAGTCTTGTCAACAGGTGATCCATCCTCAGACAGCCCACTTGGGGATCCCCCTGGCCCTACCATCCCGTGTGGCTTTTCGTCCTCTCACTATTCTGCAGCTCAGGTTCAGAGAGCAGTGGATGCCATGAGGGCTGGCCCTACAGAGCTCTGGGCCACGCCCAGAGAGAGGGCCCGTAGGGGACTGAGCTGATGGGATCCCTTGTTCTATCAGGAGTCTTGCTGCACTTGGCCATGTACTTGTGCCAGCAACTGCCCAGCACCAAAGTGAGTGAAGAGAACAGAAAATCCAGAAGCTGGGGCTGGGGTGGTGGGGGGCAGCAGGGAACCTCGTGTCTGCAAAAACAAGGCTTTGGAGAAAGAAGGGCTTCATGCTGACCTTTCAACTTCACAGGATTCTGTGGTGTTGACAAAGACCGAGTTAGGCAGTGGCACCTGGAGAGAGGCCAATGGTGATCAGTGTCAAGGTATGAGTGGTGCTCATGGCCAGCACCACCCCTATACCACTCCCCAACTGGCTGCCAGCCTGTGCTGAGATCCCAGGCTTTGTAGTGTGTTTCGTCCCCCATCAGCTCCAGGGTCCTGGAAGCTCCTGGCTCGGGATGGCCAGTGAGTGGCCTCCCTGGCCTGCAGCTCTCCTGTAGCCACCCACCCACAGCCAGGATCTGGGCTCTCCGCTCAGCCTTGCCTTCTCATAGTCTTCATCAGAGTCCTCCCCACCAGTGTCAGCACGCGTGGTGTCAACCTGCGAGGGCCGCCGGGGTTTTTCAAAGGAGAAGCTCCTGAAACTCTGCCCATCGGGGGGCGACCGCCTGGGAGGGGAGCAAGACATGGAATGGGTCCCCCTCTGCTGCCCTCCACACCCTGGCCCCACGCGCCCTCTGAGTGACCACACCAAGCTCAGCCACAGAACCCATGGGGTCTGGCTGCTACAGTCCTGGTGGCTGTGAAAAGCCCACGACGACAGTGGCCTGTGCTGACTACCTTGGGGTGAAAGGAATCGCCTGAGGCCTGGAAGCCTGACCTTAGGTCAGAGCTGCCATTGACACTGGCAAGGGGGTCCTAGGACCTGCACTCTGGTGTTGTTACACTGTGGACAAGTGCTCTAGATACTGTGGGAGAAGACCCCAGCTTTGCCACTGACCAGCTTTGTGACCTCAGCCAAGTCATGCCCGTCCCAGAGCCACAAAGTGTAGATGGATGTCAACAGGCCAAGCCCAAGGGACATGCCCCACACAAAGCCAGGCGGTCCTACACCCCCAGGGCTTCAGGGAGGATTAAAGGAGGCCACACTGGGGTGGGCGGCTGGGTTTTTGTGTGACGCTGCACTGTGGACAGTGGGCCCTGAGCACACAGCCCTGTAGTACTCAGGTCCAGATCCGGGGCTCGGCAAAAGAACCCAATCTGCACCATTGTGGCCCCTCGTGAAACAGAGCCCTGAGCGTGGCAAGGGGTCCTCCCAGGCACTTGCCCATGGGCAGCAGTGCTAATGGAGCCGTGGGGAGAAGGCTGCCATGGTCAGGTTCAGGGAGTGCTGGGTTAGAGCACCCACTCAAGGCTCGCCCCTGTGGCTCCCAGAGCCTTCACTGCTGCAGATCCCAGACATCTCTGACCAAGGGCCATTGGTGTGGATGACACTGCGGAAATGGGGGCACACTGGTCTCCTGGCACTGCCCAGCAATAAAGCAGAGGTGATTCAAGCAGGTCTCAAGGGTGAGTTAGGGACATGCTCCGCATTCCAGAGAGTACCTAATTGGCAAGGGCACAAAGACAGCCTCGGCGGTTCCAGAGCCAGGAACACACCCAGGGCCCCAGGAGGGGCTGGGAAGGAGGTGCTGGGTAAAGAGGGCCTGCAGAGGCATGCTGGCTCAGAGTGGCCCAGAGCCCTAGCTCCCTTCCACACATCGTCTAACCCAGGGCAGGCAGGCAGCCCCACAGGCCCCTCTCCTGACCCCAACCCTCAGACTGCACGGCAGAGGTTCTGGGAGGCCTGCAGTCCCAAAGCCCCTTCTTGTCCACTGCTCCCTGAGGCAGCCATGGGCTTCAGGCCCACCACCCAGTGGGCTGGAAATTCTCAACGGCAAGGTTGGACACCACCTGTACCCCTGGGTCGTGAGCTGAGAGTACCAGGGGCAAGGAGGCCAGGGTGCTGTGAGAGAACTGGCCAGGTTGGGAGGAGTTCCAGTGGCACCAGCGCCATGTTGACTCACTGGAGGTGGGGGAGGGGTGGCTTCTCTGGCCTGGGCAGGACTGCGGGCCTGGCTGTGGTCTCGGGCATAGGCAGCTTCAGTGCAGGAGGCCTGGGGGCCACAGGGGGCACAAAGAGTCCGGGCTTGGCTGCCTCCCTCGGGGGGGCCTCTTCAGTCATTTTCAGGAACTTGGGCTTGTTGGCTGGCACCGGTGGGGGCTCGGACGTGGACAGCCCCCGGGGGGACAGGTGGAAGGACTTGAGCTTGTCACAGTTCTTGGAGGCAACAGTGGCCGTGGTAGCAGCGCTAGAGGCAGAGCTGGCCCCATGGCTGGGGACCCGAGGCTCTGGGCTGGGGCTGGTGCTCTCACGGAAGCAAGGGGATTTCTGGAGGCTGGGCACAGTGGGCAGGCTGCCCACTGGAGGGTCACTCATCCTTCGGGAGGGAGCAGGCACCCTGAGGCCAGGCTCAGCCCGCCTCAGGCCCGGCAGTTCCCTCTTCGAGTCCTCGAGGGCTGGGCCAGCATCAGAGACACCACGCTTAGGGGGTGGGGGTGGCAGCAGAGGGCCCAGGCCCTTTGAGATGAAGGAGTGGGCACGGGGCACGTCAGAGAAGGCTGGCTTCCTGGGCGTGGGCACAGGAGGTGGCGGGTAGGCTGGCGGGTGGGTCAGGGCATCTGCAGAGCAAAGAGATCTAGTTAGTGAGATAGTGTCACCTGCTGGAGGCTGGACCAATACCATCTCTGCTGGCAATGGATGACTGGGCCAAGTGGGTGTGCGCCCCCTCGTAGCCCCCACCCCATGCCTGGCCACCCTATAGCCCCCAACGCCCAACACTCTCGATGCAGCCTTCCTCCTGGGCTCCTGGCCTAAACCTTGCCACCGGTCCATCCCATCCATCCTCCACAAGGCAGCCTGTGCAAGTTTCCTGAAGCCTAAATGTCACATCAGGGTTCCCAGATAAGAAGGTGAGAGAGATAGAAGAGGCCAGGAGGACTCCTAGGATTTGGCCTCAGCTAGGGGAGGCTGGAATTTCTAACAACAGAGGTGAGGAGAACAGGCGGGAGCAGGTGGGAAGGAAGATGAGGATCGTGTTTGCTCATGACAAGTTTAAGATGCTGCAGGATATAGAGGGGACATCGAGTGGGCCGTTGGGGCACAGGTCCAAGTTCAGAGGAGAGGTCCCCGCTGCAGACGTCAATGGAGTCAACAGCCTATTGATAACAGTGGCTGTGGCTCAGGAGTGACAGGGTGGGGGTGAGCAAAGCCTGAGCCCTGGGCTGGCCCTCAGTCATGCAGATGGGTTTCAAGGGGCCAGCACAGGGTTGAGAGGGAGGCGGGACCTGGTGCTGAGTGAGCCAGGGGAGGAGCAGGGAGGGAGGTACCGGGCCAGTGCAGCTCACAGGTGCTGAGCGCTGCATCTGGGAATGGGGAGGCCACTGGGAAACCTGATAAGAGACGTTTTGGGGAGTGGGAAGGGGAGCCTGATGGGAGTGGGCATCCAGAGGGTGGGGAGGGAGTGGGCCAGGAGCGTGCAGGCAGGTTTGCAGAAGCACTGGGCCCTGGAGGTTCATGGCTAGGAATGAGAAGTGAGGCTCCTGTGTGCTCATCAACAGCCCCACTGGGCTGCAGTTCAGGGGTGGGGCAGAGGGAGGTGGGATTTCTCCAGGACTGGGGTCACAAGGCCAGAGAGAGGAAAGGGTAGAGCATGAGAGTGAGGGTATATAGGACGAGGGGGGCAGGCTCTGAGCCAGAAGGGGAAGTTGAGGCATGTGGCCACAGGTCCTGGTGGGCCAAAGGCCTGTGGGTACTGGGGCCCTGGAGGGAGGGGGCCGATAGGCAGGAAGGGGGCTGGACCCAAGTATACTGGAGAGGAGAGGCAGAGCTGGGAGGAGGACACAGGAGTGAGGGTGGGGGGGAGGGCAGAGGACAGGGTCACTGGAGAGTAGGCCAGGGGGTGGAGGGATTGTCCCAAGTCCCCAGATAATGAAATCCACAAGATCGAGAACTGAGGGAGGGCTGAGGGAGGGGAACCAGTGAGGGTGGAAGGGAGAGTGAGTGACGGACACACGGCAGAGGCAAGGGGTGAAGGGACAGACGGCAGGGACAGGGAGTGAGGGGACAGATGGCAGGACAGAGACACAGCCTACCCCCCCAACACCTGGCCCTGTGCTTCCCTGTGACACGCGTATGTGATGCCTGGCATAACCCTGGTACACGCCTGTCTCCCTTCCTAGGCCATGTGCTTCAGGGGGTGGGGTGGGGGTGGGCAGTGAGGAACCGTCTAGCATACAGAGGTGCTCACAAAGAGCTGTCCCTCCTTCCCCACTCTCAGCTCCCAGGACCACCTCTGGCTCAGCATCCCAAGTATGGGGGCTCCCCACCTCAATTATCTCCACATTCCCCCCATCCTGGACTAACCATGGAGGCTGGAGGAGGAGGTGAGCAGGGCCAGCCAGAGGGTACACCTCTTTTACTCTGTTCCTCCTAATACTTGGGCCATGGCAGACAAACTGAGGCCCAGGGTAGAGACAGTCAGGCCTGAGCCCACCCAGAGCAGGACCCAGGCCAGCACTCCCAGGCTAGGAGGGGGCTCTGCTCCCAGCCCTGGCCCCTGTTCTCCACTAGGAGCTCCCCAGGCCCCCCAGTCACCCGGCCTACCTTCGGGCTTCACGGGCTCAGGGGAGTCAGGCTCCATGTACGAGTCGTCCTCATCGTCATGCTCATAGTCTGCAGGGCAGAGGGAGGGTCAGACCCAGACCAGGGCAGCCCAGGCCCAGCTGCACCCAGGACAGGGTGGTAGAGTGGGGCCCTCGGAACGCTGCTCTGTCAGGGAGGCATGGGGCGAGGATGGGGCAAGCAGGGTGGACCCAGGCTGCTTGGGGAAGCCAAAGGGAGAGAGCAGGGAGGACATCCAAATGTCTCCCCTCCTTGGCAGTAGCCCAAGAGGAATTCCTGGTCCCTTCGTTGCCAGCAGCCAGGTGGGAAGAGGTAGTGGGCAGAGGATGTGGAGATAGGCCTCACCTTCATTGTCCGTGGGGTACTGAGAGAGGCTGATGTCCACAGGCCGCTCAACTGCGCCATAGAAGCTGTCTGTGTCTGAGCTGGAGTCGCTGAAGCACAAGGAGGGCGGGCAAAGGCGGGGCCGTGAGCACCCAGCAGACGAGTCCCTTTGTGCTCACACGTGGATTCACGCGTACACACAGACACTCACACAGACACAGAGATGTGGACATATGCACAGATAAACACAAGGACACACACAGAGACATAGGCACGGACACAGACAAACACAAAACAAGGATGGATACAAAGACACACTCCACACAAGGTTACAAGGACATGGGGAGTGGAGGCTCTGGTGCCTCCCTCCCACAACCCTGTGGTTCTTGTCATAAGTGTGGCCCTTTGACTGGCCAGATGGTGCCAGGCCTCAGGGCTGGGCCCATATGCCCACCTGCTCCGGCCCCAGGGGCTCAGTCAACTCTGGGCTGATCCCATTGCAGGATACCAGACAAGACTGAGGGCCAGGATCTCTGGGGTAAGGGAAGGACCTGTGGGATCGCCTTGGGGCCTTCCTGGGGCCTCAGTTTCCTCATCTCCGAAAGGACGGAATGGCTTTTGTTCCCGCCCAGAGAGCCCCTGCTGCTTGCTGGGTCACCTCACAGTGAGGTCACCAAGACGGAGCCAGTGCCCTAGCGGACTCACTCCTGAGTGAGCCAGCGTGGGTGTCTGGGGGCTGGGAACCCAAAGCTCTGAGCTGCTGCAAATGCTGCAAATGGGTGGCAGGTAAAGGCACATGTGACCCCCTAAACAGGAACTACCAATGCAGTACACACACATTTACACATTCGGGCATGAGCACACACATGCATACATGCTTGGGCACACACACCTGCTCAGACACTGAAATGCATGCACATACATGCTCACACACTCAGGTGTGCACACATACTCACACACTTGGATGCACACACACAGATACATGCCACACACACACATGCAGCCCAGCTGGCACCTTCAGAGAAACATTTGAGGAGAGGATTGTGTGTCAAGCCCCCAGGGGCTGGGAGGTGGGCACACGTGTCAGGCCCAGCAGCCCTAGAGACACCCTGCCTGCCCATCACATCCCCAGGCCTACCTGGCTTCCGGGGGCAGCTCCTTCTTCTCGTGGAAATGGCCAATCTCCCTGCGCAGCAAGGCCATCCAGCTCTGTGGGTCAGCCAGGGCCACAGTGGGCATGGTGCTGCCCAGGGCAGGGTTTCACCCTCACCCTCTTCCCCTCACCGCCCTGGCTGGTCTCCAGTGACCACCAAGGTCAGAGGAGACGACCTCCACTGGCCTTCGTAGGGCTGCGGACCTCTCTCAGCCCATTTGGAGCTCACCCCAAGACAGCATATTGAGTGTGTGGGTGCTGGCACCAGGCTCTGAGCATGAGGACAGAGAACTGAGGGGAGCCATCCACCCAACTGCCAATGCCCCAGCCATATCCCCTCAGGGACTAGACAGGGCCCTGTCAGTTCCCCACTGCCCAAGGCAGGTCCAGCCTGGCTCCCAGGTCACCTTGCGCTCGTCCTCAGAGGAAGCAGAGAAGAACCATGTGCGGTGCTTCTTGCTGATGTGGACAATCTTGAAGGGGAAGACATTGTTGGATGTTGTCTCCTCAGCCGCTCGCATCACCCTAAGGGCACAGTGCCAGTGGTCACTACGAGGTCCAGACTCGCAGGGACGGCCTCAGCACAGCCCCCGACCCTGGATGGGTCTTGATACTGAGCACCATGCCCCAAAGGACACAGGCAGACCTGGATGGTCTGCCCACGGATGCTCCAGGCTCAAGGCCTAGATGCATCAGGCAGAGAGAGGTGTGTAGGCAAGGATGGGCAGTGAGCAGACGGGGTGCTGGGGTCTGGGAGGGCTTCCTAGAAACAGTAGCAGGCAGTGTTCTGAGACAAGGACACATCACCCTCACTGCTCACCAATGCCACTTTACACGGATGCCACCCTCCCACCTCAGGCCCTGCCTGTCCCCTGGCCTGCCCATTGGGAGCCCTCACAGGGCTCCATGTCAGCCTCCACCCTGCCCCTGCTGCCCAGTAGCATACCTGAGAGCACTTCAGGGAAGTGACTCTCTGTGGCCACTCCCCGCACAGAGATCACAAAGTCTACCATGGGAGGCTCCTGCTGGGCGAGGCACCTGGGACAGGTATGCCCATCTGCCTGGACCACCAGAATCACCACCTGATCCACCAGTGCCCACTGGTAGCTACATGGCCCTGGAGCCTCCTCCCCTCCTCAGCAGTGCCTGGGCTGGCCTGGGGGCCTGGGTTCTTGGGCAAGGCTCCCCAACTGAGTTTGTGGGGTACAAGCCAAGGCCCAGAGTCACTCCCTGGGGGTCCCAGTCCCACCACTGACACCATGGAACCCTCAGGTCCTCACAGGCAGGAGGGGCCAGGCCCTCCCAGGGAGGTAGGGGGCACAGACTCATGCTGTAGGGTGCATGGCCCAGGTGGTATGATACCAAGGAGCCACATTTCACCCCTGCTCTGCAGGCCCCCGAGGCCATGGGTTGGCCTGCACATGTCAGAATGCCCATCCCACCAGGGGGGCTCTGGCCCAGTGCCCACCTGCCATTGGGAGCGCTGAGGGCAGGCTGGTAGCCCCTCACTGGATGGACCCAGCCCACAGCACTTGTGAGGCAGGGCTGGCCCCCAGCCTGGGAGGCCCCTGGAGCCAGGGAGGCCTGGGGCAGGGCATGCGGAGGGCTGGGCTCTTGGCCTCTTGGAAGGAGGTGGTGGTGGGTGAGGAGGATGGGTGGGAAGGAAGGATGCAGAAGCCACTGGCCCCAGGGTCCACAGGTAGGGTGGGCACTCACCGGTTGTAGCCGCTCAGCGAGAAGGCACCCTGCGGGGAGGCGGACGTGCTGCTCTTGAAGTAGTAAATGCATCGTTTGTGGATGATGACAAAGCGCAGGGGCCCTGCAGGCAGCGTGGCAAGCACAGGACTGAGCCTCAAAGGGCCGCTGGGCACACTCCACTCTAGGGACCCTCTTCAGAAGCCCTGGGTGACTCAGGGCCAAACCACTATCTTTGAACCCCATGGAATGGAAGAGCAGGGAGCTGGGCTGGCTTTCTGCCCCCTCCCCAGGAGTCCACTGTGGGCCCAAATGGGGACAAATTCATGGGCATGCTGGCCAGCCCCAGAGCACAGCCCCCAGGGCAGGCCTGGCCATTCCTAGGGCAGGGGCAGATTCAGGGGGCTAGACCACAGGCCCCCAGGGACAAGGACTGAGACGCTGGCTCAAGGAAGGGCAGAGGCAGGGCAGGAGCCCCAGGGAAGCCACAGCCGCCCAGCTGGGTGCTGCAGGGCTGCTGGAGGTTCCCTCTACCCCAGGCTGACAGGGCGAGGGTGGGGGCAAAGAAGCCCAGAGAGCCTGCCACCAAGCGCCACTGGTGTGGAACTGACCCCCAGGCTGGGCAGTTATGCTGAGAACTCACACTCCACTACCCCGTCCCCAAGCAGCCCCTCCCAGGCCTGGGGGCAGGTCAGTTACAGTCCCTCCTTAGAGGCTCCTTGTCTAAACAGGAGAGCAGACCAATCGGTGCTCATATAGAAACCAAACAGCCCAGCTTGGGGCACTTCAACCAGGCAGCACAGGGCCAGGCGGTCCCCGGCAGAGGGCACTGCTGGGGCAAAGGCATAAGGCACCCATGGCTGGTCAGAGGGATAGGCAAAGCCCTGATGCTCTTTGGTCTTCAGAGTCTTGACAGCTGGGCAGCTCCCAGGCCTAGGGGCTCTCTTTCCCAGCCTGCTGTCCTAGGGATCAGAGCCTGGGTCTCACGCAGCTCTGTAGGTCCAGTGCCCAGCCAGGTCTTGGCTGGACAGGTGGGTTCACTGTGGACCGAGCAACCGCCCAACTCAGCGAACATCCACCAGATAAGACAAGGGCACCAGCCAGTGGCCAGACCTACCATGCAGAGGGCCCCTAGCCCTGGCCACAGGCTGAAGCTCCCCTGGCCAACCGGTCAGCACATTGCACCAAATGCCAGTCTTATCTCTACCCAGCTACACCAGCCCAGACCCTCCCACAGTCTTGGGGCTGGGGAGGCCAACCTCAGCTCCTCCAGGGGGTACCAACCACCAGGGAGAGAAGAGAAACTCCAGAGGGCCCCCCACATAAGAAAGCAGAGGCTCAGAGAGGGTGGTTGCTTGCCCAAGGAGGCCCAGTGGGTCAGCAGAGCTGGGACCAGCCCTGTCCCCACATCTTCCCATGGTACCCCCCACTGCCAGGGGACTCACACTTGAGTAGCTGCAGCTGGGTGCCACCCTTCTTGTGCAGGTAGCCAGCCTTGGCCACGCCCCCTGGCATGGTTAGCAGGTTCTGGGCACCAATGGCTTTCATAGGGACGGGCCAGTGCATCTCCTCGGACGCCATGAAGCTGCAACAAAAGGGGACACGTCTCAGCCAGGTGTGTGAGGCAGAAGATGGCTTGGCTAGGGGCATGCAGGGGGGACATCCTGGAGGCAGCATGAAGGTTCAAAGCGGCAGGAGGTGAGAACCCCTTTTCTGAAGGCTCAGGTTTCCAGGCAGGACCTCAGGGAAACCTGGTCCACTTGGTCGGCCCCTGGTCCATTCAGCCACATACCTGGGCCCCAGGGATTCTGAAAGCTGTGTTCCTTCATTGTCACTGGTTCATTCAGTACACACCTACTGAGCTCAAGGCCTCATGGGGGCTGGGGTAGAGCAGCAAATGAACTCAGAAAACCCCTGGCCCAGATAAGTCAGGCCTTAGGCCATGAACACCCCAAGTCCGAATGCCAGGTGACCCTGTAAGGGGGCCTCCCCTAGACAGGAAGTCAGGGAGGGCTTTCAGGAGAAGGTGACAGGGGTCACAACCTGAAGGAGGGAGTTAAAGAGGTACAGAGGCTGGGACAGGCCCTGGGCACCCTCTCCACCAGCTCTGACTCTCAGCAGGGAATAAGTGAGGGGCATGGCCCCCAAAAGCCCCACAATCCACTCCTGCCGATCCTTAGCTGGCTCCTGTCCATCCCTTTCTTAAGGCTCTGAGACCACAAAGCAGGAAAGCAGGTAGCCAAGAACCTCCAGTTCGTGGATCAGACAACCTAGATTCCGGTCCTGTCTTGGCTTTCTAGGGACCCCCTAGGCCTCAGTCGCTGGAGCTGTAAAATGGGAGGGCAGAGCAGACGCAGCCTGGCATGCAGCACACCCTCTTCAGCAGTGGCCATGATGACCGTTTGGTGGGCTGGCTGATATCACCCTGTCTCCCAACAGCCTGGGGCACTACTCCCCAGGGACGACACAGCACTCCGTCACCAGGGACAGGCTGACTGTCCTAGGGCTAACTCAGCTCCACAGGACCCAACATGTCAGGCCCTGCCCCTCCTCCAGCCTCTTACTCACCCTCCAGCTGCTCTCCCTGAAACCTGCCAGGCTGTTTCACACTTTTGGCCTCAGCCTGGAATGCCTGCTACCCCTCCTCACATGGAGAACTCCTACTTGTCCTTCAAGACCCAGATTCAGAGTCCTGTCTTCCGTGAGGCACCTCAATACCCAGTCACATTCCGGGTTTCCTCCACCCCTGGTCCCTCTGAACAGCACCTAACCTTGCACTGATTTGTCTGTGCCTGCCCCCACCCAGCCAAGGCCTGGTCCTTCCAGGGGGCCCAGTGGAGTTGGAGGGGCAGGGGTGTGGTCAGCGTCACCGTTGCACCAGTGGTGGAGCAGTTATGGTCAGACCCAGAGACCCAGTCCAGCTGCGACTCCTACCACTACAGGTCCCATCCCAAAAACACACACACAAAGACAACCACTCTGCTCTTGGAGAACCAGCACCCTTCATCAAATGTTCACCCCTCCAGGGACCCGGGCTGCTCCTCTGCCACCACCTCTGCCTAAGTCACCAGGCTGTCCCCTCCGGCTCCATCTGCACACAAAGCCAACCCCTTGGGCCTGGGCCCCCACCAACAGCGGAGGCTCGGAAGAAAGGCGCAGCCACCCCTACGCCCACCCCCGCGCCTGCCGCCAGGACACAGCCCCCCGGGGAAGACGGGAAGGGTGCCCGCGCTCACGCCCACCCACGGGGAGGTGCTGGCAGACCAACGGCCCGCGCCTCGCCCGGAGCCCCCAGCCCCGCCCGCCCGCCCGCGCGGGGCCGGCCCACGCCCGCCTTTGTTCTCGCCGGAAGCGCTGGCTCGGGTCCGGGGGCACAGGGTCCGGTCCGGGCTTGGTACTCACGGCGTCCACGCGGCAGGCACGGCCGGCTTCCGGGGGGCGGCCCGCGCCCGCCTCCCTTGCGCGCACCGACAAGGCCCCGGGCCGGGCGCCCCGGCCGCCGCCTCGTCCCCGGCGCCCGCCTCCCGCCGGCCCCAGCTCCCGGGCCGCAGCCCCGCGCCCGCCATGCCGCGCGCCCCCGCCCCCGGCCCGGGCGCCGGCTCCTCCCCTCGCGGGCGGGCGCGGGGGCGGGCAGGTGGGGAGCCCCGCCTCTCCGCCCGGCATCCCTCGCTGGCGGCCCCGCTGGGCCTCAGTTTCCCCGTCTGCTGCTCTGGGAGGCGCGGACGGCGAAGTATACGTCTACAGTGCAGCCCAGAACTAAGCCACCGATGCAAGCGAGGCAGCGCGCTTCACAGCCCCAGCGCTGCGAGTGCCCCCGGCTGGAAGACCCCCAGCCAGGTCTCAATCCCACCCGGCTCCTGGCTGGCGAGCGCCCTTCGGAAAGTGGCTTCTCCTCCCTGAGCCTCAGTCTGCACCTCTGTAAATGGGGGTGGTGGCCGCCCTGCCTTCAGGGCTGTGGTGGGGTTGAAGCGCGTCTGGCTGGCTGAGAGCCCCCACCAAGCTGGCATGCACTCGGGCTCCCGGACAGATCTGCGGTTCCTTGAGCCCCTTACTGGGCAGGCTGCTTGGCCTATCTACCCGGATGGGCCTCCACCCCCGGATTCCCTGCAGGAGTCAGGGGTCTGGTCTTTGGCAGCCCTGCTTGGGCATATGTGAGTTCCTCTCCCAGAACACCCCCGGGAGCCTGGCCAAAGGCTGGTGAAGGTCGTTGCTGGCCTCCCAGACATTCTGCCTCCTCCACCTCCCACCAGCATACAGGCTGCCACTGAGATGGGCCACCTGTGGCAGAGGGTAGTTCTAACAGCTTGGGCCTTGCTCCCACCGGGCTGTCCGTACTGGGCGCCCCGCCCTGGTTTCCCAGCCTCCACCTCAGGCCGGTTCTCTGGCCCCTTCCCACTGCAACCAACCTTTGCCCTTCACTGCAGCCTCTCCACATAGAGGCTCCATCCCACCTCTGTGCCTCTGTGCACAGCGCCCTTGCCAACCCCTCCCCTGGCAGTGTACCCAGACCCCTAGACCACCTCCCCCTCCTCCTCCCAGCCACCCTGCCTGGCCACTACTGGCCAGCCCCCCACCACTTCCTCTCCTTGATTCCCTCGCCCACCTCCAGTCTCTTCCCTCCATCATCCTCCACGCGGCACACTCTCCAACACACACGCCATTCCTATCACTGCACTGTTCTGAATCTCCAGGGCCTCCTCATGCCTGCCTGACCCTTCCAGATCAGGCCCCTGTGGACCTTTCTCAAAGGCTCTCCTGCTGCCCTCCACCTCCTGTGCGCTTGCGCCAGCCAGACCCCATGGCTCCCATTACCCAAATCCAGCAAGCACCCACCTCCAGGTCTCTGTCCACACTGCCTGCAGCTGCAATTAAAGTAACTCAGCCCTCAAAAGTTGGCTCAAATGAACAACAATCCTTCACAAACCCTTGCAAAAACAGAAGCGGAAGGAGCTCATTCTATGAGGCCAGCATTACCCTGATACCAAAACCAAGGACATCACAAGAAAAGAAAATTACAGACCAATATCTGTTATGAATATAGACATAAAAATCCTCACCAAGACTGGATACATGTGTATGGTGATGGATGGTGATTAGTCTTTGGGTGGTGAACACAATGTAATCTACACAGAAATCAAAATATAATGATATACAACAGAAATTTATATAATGTTATAAACCAATGTTACCATAATTTTTAAAATTAATTATTTTTTAAAAATTAAACAAAAACCAAAAAAAGTTCTAATTAAAACAAGAAATTCCTCATCAAAATACTAGCAAACTGAATCCAGCACCGTATAAAAGGATTCCACACCATGCCAAGTGGGATTTATCTCAGGAATGCAAGGTTGATTTAGCATTCAAAATTCAATGTAATACATCGTATCAATCAAATAAAGACAAAAACCACACGATCATCTCAATGGACGCAGAAAAAGCATTTGACAAAATTCAACAATCCTTCATGATTGTTGTTCGAGAACAACACTCCACAAACTAGGAAGAGGAGGAAACCTCCTCCACCTCGTAAAGGGCGTCTACGAAAAACCCTGAGCAAATACGCTCAGCAGTGAAAGACTGAAAGCTTTCCCCTAACAGCAGGGACAAGGCAAGGACATCTGCTCACACCACTTCTGCTCAACATTGTACTGGGGGTTCCTCCCAGAGCAATTAGGCAAGAAAAAGAAATAAAAGGCATCCAGGTTGGAAAGGAAGAAGTAAACCTAATCACAGGTTAAATGATTGTGTACACAGAAAACTCCAAGGAATCCACTAAAAAATGATTAGAACAGGGGCTGGCTCAGTGGCGTAGTGGTTAAGTTCATGTGCTCTACTTTGGCAGCCCAGGGTTCATGGGTTTGGATCCAGGGCACAGACCTACACACTGCTCGTCAAGCCATGCTGTGGCAGTGTCCCAGATAGATAGAGGAAAACTGGCAACAAATGTTAGCTCAGGGACAATCTTCCTCAAGCAAAAAGAGGAAGATTGGCAGTGAATGTTAACTCAGGGCCAATCTTCCTCACCAAAACAAAACAAAACAAATGATTAGAACTAATAAATGAGTTCAGCAAAGTGGCAGGATATGAGATCAACACACAAAACTCAGTCAGTCGTATTTCTATATACTAGCAATGAACAACCAATAAATGAAACACAAGTTAGTCCCCTCTTTCAGGCAGTCTTCAATGACGTCTAGGGTGTCCTATGTCCCTCTGTGGGGCGAGCACAGCTTTCCCTCTGCTTAACACTGACGACACTAGGTTTTCACTGTCCCCTATTCTCACCAGCGCAGGCCCAGCACAGAGGGGCACCAAGGAAGCCCCAAGGGAGGTACAGAATGTTGACCCTGGTGGATGGTGGGGACTGGGGTTGCCTACAAGGCACAGGAAGTTGAAACAGAGCCCCACTCTGGTGTATCACATCCTCCCCAATCTGTAAGGAGACCTGGCATGTGTGTTGGAGTGGGGGCAGCTGCTGTGAGGACAAACTGTGAGGAGCCACTGCTCCTCCCGGTTGGGCGAGATTGTGGGGAGGACTTGGGGCAGCACACAGCCTCATCCTGGTTCAGCTCAGTGGCCAAGCAAGCACAGGCCTGTGAGGACCGCACTCTCCTCTGGCCACCATCCCTCTGTGGGCAGGACGGGGGCTCTTAGGTGGCCACTCACTGACCTTGGGTGGTGAGAATGAGTGGTGCTTCATCTCTCCTGGGAATGCCCTCACTTCAGGGACAGTCCCTCGCCAGAGAATGGACCATCCAAAGGGAAGCCCATCCTGATGCCCTCACACCCTCTGGCCCCAACTGGCCCGGTCCTGCACCAGGGGGAGAGTTGGGTTGGCACCTGACCAGGAGCCCAGAGCCAGGCCAGGCTGGAGCAGAAAAGGGGAAGTGGCAGCTGAGGGTGAGGGTGATGACGGGCCATGGTGACCATGGTGGCCACATTGCTCTTGGGGAATTCCAGTCCAGCTCACAGACTCCAGCTCCCTCAGTGCCTGGGAAAGTTGAGAGGAGTCCCCAAGGGACACCCACACTCCTGGCCAGCCTGGCCTCCCTGGCTGTCTCCCTCAGTGCCATTGGCTTTGCCTCAGCCCCGAGGACCTGATGGTTAAACCCCACTCATTCATTCCAGGGGCCCCCACTGGCTTCCTGACAGTGAGACACCCCAGTGGGGACCCCTCCCCATGCTGCTGAGGGTGCCCGCTGAGCCACCCTGGGTGGGAGCTGTCAGGGAGAATGCTAGAGACCTGGGTTCAAATCTCACCCGGCTCGTCCTCCACTGAGCCTCTGCCTCCTGCAGTTAAAAGCCAGCATGGAAGAGTCCATTCCTCAGTGTCCAGATACCCCAGCAGCACAGTGACAGCTCCATCCCCTTGCGGGCATCTGCCCCCACAGAGGAGTGACTGAGGCCACCCAAGGAGCTGGCAGCAGGGTCATTACTCGCTTTCTGGGTTTGCCATGCTGTGGGGGTCTCTGTTCCCTGAAGCTCAGAGGGGCTCCCTGGGGCAGGCTTGGCAGAGGCACAGGTCAGCCTGTGTTGGGGGGCTGGTGTGGTGG